TTACCCTAGCGGCCCTAGTCACCTGCCCAAAGGGGGGGACTGCTACAGCCCACACCCCTATCCAAACCTGGCTCTTCTTCAGGGGTTCCCTAACCGCATTTTTCTTTCCTTTTTTTATTTTCCCACCTAGATCTTTTCCAAACTCAGATCCGGCTTTCCACTTCGCTGACCGTTTCATACGCTGCTTCAATAGACCGCTTTATTCACATGCACACGTGCACACTCCTTTCACACATGTGCGCTCTCCCGCATGTGTGGATCACCTCTGCGCACATCCAAGTTAAACCTGCACACGTATGTGTTACCTCTTCGAATGTGTGCACTGCTTGCTTTGTGTTGTTCGCCCTCCTTCTTCCACTTCACACTCTGCCTTTCCGCCTTACTTCTGCTTCTACTTGCTTTCGCTCTCCTACCACGCGCTCGCACTTCAAGCGCCCGCTGCTTGCCTTCCTCTCCCAGAGCTCGGCACCCTCTCTTCCTTGTCACGTGCCGCCTCCTCACAAATGCGCGCCTTTCTCTCTCTGGGTTCTTTCTTCTTGAAGCTAGCCTTCTTCTTCGTCACTGTGCACTTCTCTACCTTGCGCTGCTGCAAGTGCACCTCCCTTCTGCAGAACACTCACCTTGTGCACCTTGATGTTGCCCGTGGACGTCAACTTGCTCCGCATGTGCGAACTTTGCTCTTACCTGGCTCTCCTTCTCGATGGGGGTGGGGAGTCACAAGATCAAACCATGTTCAGATGCCATACCGCCAAAGATTGCATGGGTGTAGAGGACTTTGCTGCAAAGAGGGAGAATCGCCACTGTCCCCATGGAAAAGAAGTAACTTCTTACTTCCCATATGACTGAGTGTACCTTGGCATGCAAACAGCCAGGTGCATCATCTGGTCAGGCCTCAATGTCTTCATTGTTGTTTTGCCTTAGGCAGACGAAAGGATCTCACGTTTCGATCGTCCCGAGTCCTGGTCCCGAAGTCCCAGTTGGTCCCAGTCCCACTACGTCCCAAAAGGCCGAGTCCCAGGCTAGGTAGGGTCCGGTAGGTCTTAGATTGAAGCCTCGTAGGAACCAGTCGGCCGGTAGCCGAAGAGTAAGGGCGGTAAAAGTCAGTCGGGTACCAGACAAGAAAATTCCAGCCCCAAAGTCCAATTTTGCAGCAGCGTCCCTGGAAAGTCCGGAACATTCCTGACCAACAAAGACTATGCAGTTGACATGCCGTGGGCGACAGGTACTGGTCGGAGGTGGGCCAAGAGCAAGTCAATGCTCCTGTTTATAGCTGCTACAGTGCAGTGCTTGGACATTCATTCGAGCGTGAGCTTGAGGAAACGCTGCTGGCTGTTTGTGTGACCTGGCGACTTGGGTGAAGCGGCTGGAGGTTGAAGGAAGCGGGGTTTCGAGTGGTGAAGACGACGGCCATAGCCGCTGCAGTTGATAGCAAGTTAGGGAAGATGTATTCAGGGTGTAGCATCTAGGACTGGAGAGAGAGAGAGAGAGAGAGAGAGAGAGAGAGAGAGAGAGAGAGAGAGAGAGAGAGAGAGAGAGAGAGAGAGAGAGAGAGNNNGAGAGAGAGAGAGAGAGAGAGAGAGAGAGAGAGAGAGAGAGAGAGAGAGAGAGAGAGACATCAGAGGGAGAGAGAGAGTGAGAGAGGAAGAGGGATAAAGTACAAGGTCAGAGTACAGTACTTACTTGCTTAGGAAGTTGTTGGTTGATGCGCCGCGCCCGAACTTGACATTGTATAATATAATAATTCTTCGAAGTTCCTTGATTTCTCCTAAATCGGTGTTTCAATTCTTTGGCGTGGTGCGAATCTTCGTGTGATTTCATGCTTGCACTGTTTGAGGGGTGGAATTGAGAGTGGTTCATCGGACAGGGAATCTTTGCCCCTTAAAAAAATGCTTAAACCTAAATGAGACCACCACTGCCGCGCACTCAATTTTCACCTAAGGGGATGGCCGGTACATGTACAAGGAGACTGCAGCCACTTTGTGCACGGCCAGATCTTTTGACCGAGGCGAGCAGCAGTTGTGGTCTAAAAGGAAACAAAATTCCAAAACAGTTTTGCTGCTGTTTAACCAGCATGTTCACCAGTCAGTGCTCCAAAACCTTCCGAGGCCCAAACCTCCATCTCTCCCATTCTCCGTCCTCCCCGTCTTGTTTTACCACCAAGGGGTTGTTGAGCTACCATTGACTTAGGACCAGTAGAACGGGCATGTATCTTATCATCTATTTTTAAGTATTTTTAAGTATTTTATGAATAAACTTTAATATAAAATGCTTCTCCGAGTGTAATTGCATACTAGGGATGTGGACGGTGGGAAGGAAAGGATGTATAGGATTGCATTGCCACAGAAGGCTTTTGAGAACATCTGAAACATAGTGGCATACATACAAAGAGGACAAGAAAGGGATAAAGGGAACAGGATACGGAAGAAGTTCCAAAGAAAGGAGAGTGCTTTCTCCCAACATAAAGGCTTAGAAAAGACACCACAGCGAAGACTGAAAGTAGTTGAAGGCAAAGCATCTCCAGCTCACCTGACTGCGCAGCCATGACAAGTTGCCCTATGACCACATGGATCAAATATGGCATCTTTCGGGGCGTCGAAACAAACTGCACAAGGATTCTCTAACCGCAAGTGTCGGGGCTTTGTAACTGTGCCCTTTTCCTTTTCAGCTGCCTTCTCGTCCTTATTCCATGGCTCTTTTTCCATCGGAGGTGCAGATGGTGCCAAGTCCCCTGCACTTGTTGCTTCTCCCTCTGCAACATAGCCATGAGGCATGTGGTCCCTGCTAACATTGGGGTTTGCTGGATCCTGATAAGGAAAAGATGGCATTGGGAATGCTGTTCCTGCTCCACTCGGTGCTCCAGGTGGTACTTCGGGTGATGGCATTTGGAAAGGTGAGTATTGTGGCGCCAGCAGCGGTGGTGGTGGTGGAGGTGGAGATGAAATGGGCCTCCATGGCCCAACACTGTAATCTGGGTGCAGCCCTCCATCAATATCTTGTCCAGATGCATTTTGGGAGCCACCGGGAAAATGTGCATGTGGTGACCCTGGCCTGACCTCCTCGTAGCCATCATACTGGTACTGTAGACGCTTCTTCATACAAGCCATGGTACACAGTAATACAAGCAACACAACCCCTGCCGCACAGACACACAGTCGTGGCAAGCCCACATATTCAGAAGATCGTACCACCTTTGTCCGCTCTTTGATGTCCGGAATCGTGACCGTTGACCTCTCATGCACACATACAAAGTTACTACTGTACATGGAACCAGATAATGAAATCAATGTCAAATGAACATAGATGATTGAGCAGGCAGCTTCTACACTTACCCGTTCCAGTCAGCTTACTGCCTATCGATTAGTATCGAGCCACAAGTGGCATTTATGATTAATCTATTTTTTGGGGGCCCATGGAGGTTATACCTTGGGCCACCGTCCAAGCATCTGGGCAAGTTGCCCAGCCAGGCACCGGCGCTGGCTACCCAAGACAGGTGAAAAAACAGAATCTTTTTTTTTTTTTTTTTTTTGGTTTGACAGTTGAACATTTCTGCACCACCAAGATCATCCCAATAAATTAAAAAAAAAAAAAAAAAAAAAAAAAAAAATCATCCCAATTTGGCCTCTTTTCTGTTTTCCATTGTTGGGTTTCAAAGAGGGGTTTAAAGGGGCTTAGTTTGGCAACCTTGCACTTTCTTTGACTGCTCCAGAACACATTTTGTACGAGCCAGCTGTCTAGTCATAGTTCCGACCAAGGCTGGGCCGGCAACCGGCCGGATCACCTGCCCCGGTCCAACCGGCGCCGGACCGGTCCAGGGGGGGTGAACCGGCAAAACCGGATGCCCCAAAAAAATGCCCAGATTTTTTTTTTTTTTTTTTGATTGCGGCATCCAACTGCGTTCATTGAGATCTGTCGGAATCCGCATTAAAACTTGAAAGTCAGGAATTTCTTTTTTTTTTGGG